GAATAACGTACAAAACATAGACGTACAAAAAATGAACGTACAAAACATGACGTACAAAGAATGGCGTATAGAAAAAGACGAAAACGAACAAAAAAATGCTGTATAAAAAAAGGCGAACAAAGAATGACGTACAAAGAATAACGTACAAAAAAAAGACGAACAAAAAATGACGGACAAAGAATGACGTATATAATAAGACGAACAAAACGACGTACAAAGAATGACGTACGAAAAATGACGTACAAAATCCATCCGATAAACAATGTCGTTCTAAGTCTATGCGACAACCCTGCCCAGCTGTACATTTCGTGTCTATCCCTTTGCATACGAGCAACAACTGGTAACCCACATACACCCGGCGTGTCGTAAATGGTGTCGTAAAGTCGTCACGATCGTAAACTAAACACGGGAGATGTCGCAAATGCCACACATACCCCTTCTGAGAAGCCGTGGCCGGCCACAAACTCCTCTCGGATCCATTCGGAGACCAATCCAAACGCAGACAGAGTGCTCTGACTCACACTCTCGTTCATGCATGTGTCAGGAAACTCCGCACAGGCCAGCAGGAGGGTTAGCTGTAGGTAGTAGGTGTAGGCGTATATGAGAATCAAGGCTTAGCCACAGGGGTGGGGAATGCGTTAACGTTTGGAAGGAAACGTAGGACCGAGTTGGTCACAGGACACGTGCAACAGGGTTTGTGAATGCGTACACGGATATAAATACAACACCCGAGATACGCTATAGGCACATGTCACACGGCTTCTAAAGATACCGATTGAGAGCAGCATTGTAACTGCATGAACATGAACGGATATATATATATATATATATAGAATATTTACTATATATAGAACACTTACTATAAATAGAACACTTACTATAAAGAATACTTACTATGAATAGAAAACTCAATATAAATAGAACACTTAATATAATAAGAACACTTACTATATATAGAACACTTACTATAGATAGAACACCGATATAAAAAGAACACTTAATATAAATAGAACACTTATTATAAATAGAACACTGACTATGAATAGATCACCTACTATAAGTAGAACACGTACTATAAATAGAAAACACAATATAAATAGGACACTTACTATAAATAGACCACGTACTATAAATAGAACATGTACACCTACCAATTGAGCGCAGCATTGTATCTGCTCACTGGACTCGGGATTGACAATCATCGGCCTCAAACAGTCCACTACAGTCACCAACAGAAACACCATCCCATTGGCTGCATCCTCATCCTCCTCTGTGGGGGTGGATAGTGCGTGTGCGCTTATGCATAAGTGTGGGTATGTTCATATACATGTATCGATATAGGTGGGTATGTTCATATACATGTACGGATATATGGGCATGTTCATGTAGATGTATGGATATAGGTGGGTATGTTCATGTACACGTATAGATATAGGTGGATATGTCTATATACATGTATGGATATAGGTGGGTGTATTCATGTACATGTATGAATATAGGTGGGTGTGTTCATATACATGTATGGATATAGGTGGGTGTGTTCATATACATGTACGGATATATGGGCATGTTCATGTACATGTATGGGTATAGGTGGGGTTGTTCATGTACATGTATGGATATAGGTGGGTATGTTCATGTACACGTATGGATATAGGTGGATATGTCTATATACATGTATGGATATAGGTGGGTGTGTTCATGTACATGTATGGATATAGGTGGGTGTGTTCATGTACATGTATGAATATAGGTGGGTGTGTTCATATACATGTATAGATATAGGTGGGTATGTCCATATATATGTATTGATATGGGAATATACATGTA